GCATAGTAATGTAGGAATCACACAGCCTACTCCTGTATAAACTTGTATAGGATCAGGCTCAACACAACCTAGATCTAAGCCAACACAAGCCTGTAACTTGCCCTTAATAAATATATGCCTTTTTTTTTTTGGTCATATGCATGTTCAGCTATGGATTTTCTTACTGTACACACTTTTATAAGTTATGAACTAAAGCCTGCGGAAAAATTAATTTATAGTTAGGTTAACCAGTTAAAACATGGCGAAATGTGTGTATTACAGAACTTCAAGCTTTGCTAGTTCTACAAGATAAAGTCTTTGCCATTCAACAGTGTTTACAATTAAGCCAGCAGTACACATGGAGAAATTGCAAATATTGTAGGAAGATAGGGAGGAGGAGGAGGAACAGGCATGTGCCTCTTCCTCCACGGCGTCCCTGGTCTTCAGCTGCCTCCAGAGAGGGTCAGGAAGGAACAGGTGCATGGCTGTTCCTCCTCTTCCCTGTCCTCCGCGTGCTGGGGAAAATGGCTTCGCATGCCATCTCTGGTACATGTGCCATAGGTTCGCCATCACGGCTTTAGATGTATCCTTTTTAAAATTGTTGTAAACTGTCCTGAACCTTATTTTAGGAGAAAGATGGAATATTAAGAGACTGCATCACATAGTGGTTTGAGGGTTGGACTATAACTCTGAGACTCAATTCCTGCTCAGCCATAAAACCCACTGGGTGACCTTGGGCAAGTTACATTTGCTCAGCCTCAGGGGAAGGCAATGGCAAACCTCCTCTGAACAAATTTCCCCAGAAAACACCATGATAGGTTTGTCTTAGGCGACAAGTTAAAGATGATTTGAAAGCACACAACAACAAATATAATAAACAGAGGGAACCCTTTCTTCTAAAGAAGAGGCTCATGTAAAGTGCACACGGGGGAGGGGGGGGAAGAGTCCTCCCTCTACAAATGATCAGTTCAGACTTGGTTCTGAAAAAGGTCAGCTAAGGACTCTGGGAAGAAAGGAAGGGCAAGGGAAGAAAGCCTCTGTTGCATGGGTGCATGGCGGAGCCAAAGAAGAGGAACTGGGATGTCACTAGGAGGGTGCAGACTGCACCTAAATGGGAGTGACACCACTGCTCCCCAAACACCTGCCTTTTGGCAGAAATGGGCCGTGGCATTCACCCTTTAAAACTCTGGAAGAGATGGTGTGCGTGTGTTGAGGCTTAGTGAAACGGGAAAGGTTTATTAAATCTTAAGAGTTTATGAAAAAAAAATTAATTTTAATTTTAAAATTATTCCTTTTAATTTTTTCTCTAAAACCACCACATCTTACCAATATTTCACTTTAGATTAGTCTCAAATCTCCCTTTTCTGGGCAAGGTGATGGAGGGCATTTGCCTTCTAACTCCAGGCTGTCTTGGGTGAGAAAATTATCTAGACTGGCTTTCAAACCAGCTTCAGAGCAGGATATGGAGTTGAGATTTCTATTTCACTTTTAACCGCATGAAACTACTGTATATACCTGTAAATACATTCAGGGTGTGCATATGATATTGTAAATTTAAAGGTGTAGTTTAATTTCGCTAGTAGTTTTCTGTCACAGCTATTGTCATGACATTCAGTGACAGATGGGAATTAAGATTTATTTATTTATTTATTTATTATGCAGCAGAATCTTGTGGCACTTTTGAGACTAACTTGGCTAACACACTGTAAACTGCCTACAAAGTGCTTAGTTCACCATGAAGCAGTATAAAAATGTAAAAAGCTGCTGCTGCTGCTGCTGCTGCTAACTGAAAAAAAGATGCTGGTAGCATGAGCTTTTGTAGCCTTCAGCCTAAATCCTCAGAAAACATGCATTATTTCTACAGTGTAGATGCACATAAACATAGCTTGATGATTCAAAGCACCAAATGCATATGAGGTAGTAGCCTCAAGTTTAGGAAAGCTCATGCTACCAACCAGTGGTGTCCTCCCCCCACCCCAGTGTCACCTGGTATGGGGAAGTGGGGCTACTGGGGACAGGACTAAAAAGCCATGTTCACCCCTCCTCTCTTCTTGTGGCGGCAGCGGCCTCCTTGTGAGGAAACTGCCACCGCCACAGGGAAGCAGGGCCAGGTCTGCTTGCCCTTTCCCCCTGCTGGGAGGATGGCCCGATTGGGTATCACCCCTCTTCTGGGGTGTCACCTGGCACAGGTCCCACCCTTGCACCCCCCCCAGATGCCACTGCTACCAACTTCCCTCCTTCAGTTAGGGGGGTTGCATACTGCCAGAAATAGTGCAAATTGCACCCACTTTTAGGGTTAGGGTTAGTGCTAGGGAATCATGGGAACTGTTTTTTTCCCCTGAGACATTGAGCCTTCTTTGTCAGAGAGCTCTGGTGCCACAATAAACTACAGTTCCCATGATTCCCAAACCCTTAAAGTGGACTCAATTTGCACTATTTCTGGCAGTCTGCAACCCCCCTTAGTCTCAAAGGTGCTTCAAGATCCCTCTGCATACTTACTTATAAAAGAAGAAGACCCTCCCTCCATCCACCATCATCCAGAGGGAGAAAAGGGCAGGCCAGCTCCAGTAAGAAGGGTCCTCCCTTCAGTCTATCTGCTTTGGTCCAGGCGGGAGGAGAAGATCTCCTGGACATATTCCCCATCCCCACCACCATTCCCTTCTCCTTTTGTGTCTTGTCTTTTTAAATTATAAGCCTGAGGGCAGGGAAACATCTAATTAACTATCTGTAAGCCACTCTGAGAGCCTTTTGGCTGAAGAGTGGGGTATAAACACTCCAAATGAAGAAATACTTGACCTGGTTATTTCAATTAACATTCTTGTTTTAAATAAAACTTTGTCTGTTAAACAATTCCTCCTGCCACCAGTTCCTCTCTTTCAGTGAGTCTCAAAGGTGCTGCAAGATCCCTTTATATACCGATTTTCCAGATTAATACAGCTAGGTCTCTGGATGCTTAAGTGTATTTTACTTCAGGGACACCTAAAGGAGGAGAATTCTCCTTTATGACACAGTAAACCATGGCTTCCTGTAATATCTGAACCGGCCCTCGCCCACTACTCCCAAGGAAGGAGGCTCAAGCCCAGGAAAGTTCATGCTACCAACTTCTCTCCTCCAATTAGTCTCAAAGGTGTTGCCAGACACACTCTTATGGCGCTGTTATTCCACTTTAAGTGCTCTGGCTCCCTCCTGTGGCATTCTGGGATTTGCAGTTTAAGGAGGGGCACTTAGAATTCTCAGCCAGGGAGCTCTTAAGCTTCCCTCAACTACAAATCCCAGAATGCCACAGGAGGCAGCCAGAGCACTTAAAATGGAATAGAAGCATCATAAGAATGTAGTGTGGTAATCTACGAAAACGCCACCAACTTCTTTCTTTCAGTCAGGTCCAAAACAGACTGCAGAAATAATCCACTTTGAGAACGCTTTAACTGCCCTGGCCCAGTGTTAGGGAATCCTGGGAACTGCAGTTTACAACGGCGCCATGTCATGTCTCACAAAACTGCAGCTCCCAGATTCCCTAGCACTGAGCCGGGGCAGTTAAAGCGGTCTCAAAGTGGATTATTTCCGCAGTCTGTTTTGGACCACCAAGAAGATCCCTTTGCAGACTGATTCTCGAGACTGCTAACGCGGCTAGGTCTTTGAACGGTTTACTTATTGCATTTGTTTAGATGGCTTATTTGTTGTACCTCCCTGGCCTACCTTGGTGTCGACGTCGGCCAGGCAGTCCCTGCGGAAGGCGTCGAAGAGGCCGCGGCTCTTGAGCTGCCCGACGATGAGGGCGATGAGCTGGGCGTCCCCCGGAGGCAGCGAGGCCGGGTCCGGCGCTCCGGAGCCCGAAGAGCCACCGCCGGCGCCGCCCGAGGACG